AAGATCCTCAGGAGAGGATGGTTGAGGCACTACATGAGTGAGGTTAAGAGAAACTAGGTCAGAAACTGGCTGTTTCTTGAACTTAGCAAGTCTAAGCTCATGAGCCAGAAGAAGGATCTCAACTTCATCAATCTCAATAACACCAAATTAGCTTTCAACAACGGAGCATATTTAGCAGTCAATCCTTCAAAGATGACATCAATATGATGAGAGGTTGGAATAGGATCGCCAATAGAGGTTAGTGCATCAACAATAAAGCGAATTTTCAGAAGGTAATCTTGAACAAACAAGGTATCAAGAGTAATCGCACGCAACTCCACTCTAAAGATGGTGCGCTCTAGAACACGTTTGTTTCCTCTATGGCCAACCTCTATGCATACTAGTAAGAGTGGTAAACTTGAACTTTTCAGAAGCCTTTCTGCACGCAAAGTCATCGTTAACTAAATTGTTTGGCCAATAAGGTAGTTTGTAATAGGTTAGTTAGTTCACCTGAGCCCCCCACCCCATTCCGAATGTCAAAATAGCAGATGGTGGAGACCTTGACTCCCCTACGCGCAACCACAATTCAGGTTCCAATATTATAAGTAACCAGCACTCCAACTTTGACCACGGTGATAATTGCTAGACCTTTTGCCTGCCTAAGGATGACAACTGGAATTGTCTTCTCAGCCTTTAATAAAACTATCTTCATAAAATGAAAATTTCCATGTAGTTTAAAAACACATTGTTGGAAGTAAAATATGGGGTAAACATCATGACATGTTGGCATAATTGATACCATCAAGAACTTAAACTTATACCATAAAAAATTACAAAATGAGGACAGCAACAAGGAAACTAAAAGATATAGTGTAGACTTCTACATGACATGTTTGCATAAGTAATACCACCAACAATAACTTAAACTTCTAATCCAATACCATCAGGTCCCACGGTGGGCGTTCCTGTATTGATCAAAAAGTGCAGGTGTGTATGTTAGGGCACTCAGAGGCCTTAGTAGGTGTATAAAAAATAATGGTGGTTAAGGCTTACTCACGACGGCGAGAATCCCTGTACGATGGTGTTTATGGTTGTTTAGGTATAAGTGTTGAAAATAGAATCTGTCGTTTCTCCCGTAGGGGCGAAGTATTTATATCTTTTTGGGTCTAAGGTTTAGGAAACCCTTAGGGCGGCAACCGCTCCCTCATGACTTGGGGAGATTGTTGACCATCTCTTCTTCAGGGAATGGTAGTAGACTTCCTCTCGTCTGACTAATGGGAGACAGCGGTATTGTACACGTCATCAGTCCCAAGGGCGAGCCCCCTATTCTGTGTGGATGTCACCCAGTCGACGTCACTCTTAAGCAGAGACGCCAGAGCCACCTTTATTTAGGACTCTCACAAATATAACACTATGAAGTTCGGTCCCACAAACAATTACAAGCACTACAAATAATGTTCCAAAGTAAAAGGAAACATCTAACTTTAATTATTCTAGTCTTGCTTATGCACTCTATTGATTAGTTAAGCAAAGCATATGCTAAAAAAACAGTTTTTTTATCTTGTGTTATATGTGATTACTTTCCAGGCATGCATGACATTAATACATAACTATAATGATATGTATGTATTTCAGCTATATGAATTCCTTCACTAGTGGTGTGAGTTAACTTGAACAACCTAGCTAGTGATGATGATGAAGTTCGTAGGTTCCATTGAAAAAATGAAAGAACCTTACATATTAGCAAAGAGATATGATTGGAAAGGATTTCTAGATTTTTTCCTTAAACGCAAAGAGCTTTTGAGTAAGCAAATTGACTTGCATCAAAGCACTCCTTTTCACTATGCAGCACATTGTGGTAGCTCAGAGATGTACGACAAAATGCTAGCAATGGTGGATCCCTTAGAAATGCAACATGTGTTGAGGATGCAAGATGACATGGAAAACACACCACTTCATGAAGTGGCTTTCACAGGAGAAGTTGAAATGACAAAGAGTATATTGAAAAGGGAGAAGGAATCAATGTCAGAACAGTTTCCATTGCCATTGTTAGAGATGAGAAATAAGCTTGGAGAAACTCCTGTGTATAGGGCTGCTGCACTTGGGAAGACAAATTTGATTAAGTGTTTTGTTGAAGAGTTGGGTGTGGATTTAAGGGATCATTTTCATAGAAGTGGTGATAGGATGTCCATTCTTCACACTGCTGTTATCGATCAATTCTTTGGTTTCTCTCTCACACACACTTTCTGTCTTTTTCAAGTAATAGAGTATGAATCACAGATCTAAAAATCAGACACGACACTGACACTGACATCTTAATATAGATAATAATTTTAATAATAAATAAATTGAACGTAATAACATGTGTCTGTGTCGTGTCGAATACTGAACACGCTTGTCAGTGTTCTGTCATTTGACACACTGACATATCTTTGTTTTGAGGTGTCGCTATCTTTAGGAAATCCAGAATTTATAGCTGTTATGCTTTATTGATTTTTTTTTCTAATTTCTTTCTCTTTGGGAAGGAAAATGAGGTTGGATAGGTGTTGATTTTGAACGCGTGCAGGCACAGCTTTATGGTTATTGAAACGATACGATGAACTCGCTTATCAGAGGGAAGACAATGGCTTGACAACTCTACAACTGCTAGCAAAAATGCCATCTGCATTCAAGAGTCAAACCCAAATGGGAGCCTTCAAAAATTTCATATATCCTTGTAAATCTCTAATAACTTTCTCTCTAAGTAACAAACATGCATAAACTTTTGCTAATAGTTGGAATACTGTTTTCAGTGCTTCCTGATTATCAAGATTATGCATATTACCTTCCTGATGAAGATGATACAATAGAAGGACAAGATTTGGAAACTGGCCAAAAGAACTTAAATGAACCATATCAAACTCAATGGAAGCCACCACCCCAAATTCATCATACAAAACTCTCGGGTATGTGTGTTCATTATTGGTGATGTTATAAACAGGTCCGTCTTTGAGGGTGTGCGAAGTGGGCTACCGCACAGGGTCTAAAATTTGTCACGGTTAAACCGTGGATAAATAGGGTCTCATAAAATATTTTCACGATTAAACCGAAGTTAAATAGGGTGTATTTATTTTGCTATGGTTAAACTGCGACTAATCTATACAGGTCTTCCAAAAACATGAGACGGATTTGGTTATAAACTAAACACACATTTTATGCATTCGTTTTGATTCGCATATTAAATACTCAACCGTAAGAAATTGTGAATCAAAATTTCAGGTTTTTCATGGATGTGGTATACTATGTGGAAGGTTCTTTCCAAAGGTGTAAGCTTGATCAATGCTCATGATACATTTCTCCAAATGAATATATCTTGTTAGAATGTTTTGTCATATTTGTTTTATCCTTGTTTAGAATGGAAGGGTATTGAAAAACTTTGGAGGAAGAAAGAAAAGCATAATTTGGTTCAAGAACTTGTACACTTGTTAGCAAAGAATGACAAGTCATGGAAATATAGTTCAATAGCAAGGGACAGACCAGTTTCTATGGGAAGAGCACATCATATTGTAGAAGGAAAGCAAAAAGAGAAACAAGAAGAACAAAATGTTACAGGCTTTAAACCTATTATTTACACACCTTTGCTTATGGCAGCTTGTAATGGAATCATAGAGATTGTAGAAGTGATAATACATTTTCATCCTCAGTCGATTGAGCACGTCAGCGAAGATGAGCAGAACATACTGTATATGGCTGTCAAACATCGACAGTTGGGAATATTTCTAATGTTGAAGAAACTGAATATGGTTGGCCGTCTCGCTGGAAAAATCGACAAGGAAAGTAACACTGTACTTCACAACACTGCAGATTTTAAAGGAGGATCTCAACCTGGTTATGCCATGCAATTGCAAGAGGAGTTGCATTGGTTTGAAGTAAGTATCTTTAATGTAGTTTTTTAGTAGCAATACTAATCCAATTCTCATTACTATATGTCTATAACACATGTTGTGCATGCATAAATAGCGCATTGAGAAACAACTTCCTTATCATTACATTATTCACAAAAACAACAACGACCAAACTGCGAGGGATCTCTTCGAGGAGAAGCATGGACAGCTGTTGAAGGATGCTCGCAAATGGATTAAAGAGACAGCTCAGTCATGTTCTGCTGTAGCTGTTCTTGTTGCAACAGTAGTCTTTGCGGCGGCTTACACTGTCCCGGGAGGCACAGACGATAGCGGATTCCCGAGATTACTTCATCATCCTATATTTGTAGTGTTCACAGTGATGGATGTTGTGGCACTTGCAAGTTCATTGGCCTCGGTGGTTATGTTCTTGTCAATCCTCACATCACCTTGTGAGTTGTGGGATTTTAGGAGGTCTCTGCCTAGGAAACTAATGGCAGGTTTTGCATTCTTGTTCTTTTCAATGGCCACAACCATGTTGGTGTTTAGTGCAACCATTTTGGTGAACATCAAGTTAGATAAGAGCAAATGGACTTCAAGTTTGACATATTGTGCTGCATTTTTTCCTGTCAGCATTTTTGCAATGATGCAGTTCCCTTTATATGTTGCCATGAAAGGATGTGTTAAGACACTTCTTAAGAGACTTAAGAAGCTTGTTCCTCGTTTCTTCCTCAATTTGGTCAAAAGGAGCAAGAGAAATAGACTATGGGATATTTGATAGTTTTAATAACATTTTGCTTTTTCTATCATTGGACATGTACTTGAATAAATAAGGGCATACGTTTTTCCTTATATGATTATGAATTTCTTGTGATGTGCTATAGAAAACATTTGACACACCAGTTATGCAATGCAAATTTTAGTAGACTGCATAGCAAAAAAAAATTCAACTTAAAACAGGTCAACAACACGTCATTATTATCAAAGTGTACTTATTTACATGACAAATAATGACACCAGGAAAATTTACAATCTGAATGGAACGTAGCAGCTGTACAAATTAATCACTGTCCAATAGTTCTTTTCCTTTATGCCGATGTCCAAGAGAAGAAAAGGATATGAAATGTGATGCTGAACAATTCAGTATCCGTCAATCTTCAAATATAAATCTGCAAGAGCTCGGTAGAGAATAGCAGCAGCAGGTGGCCTAGGCAGGGAGCCAAGAAGTATATCTGTAGCAGATAAAGACTGGCTGCCATAAAAACGACAATTTTCTTGGGTGCGAGTGGTGACAATACTTCCTTCAAGTGAACAACCAACAAATGCACCTGCATATAGAAAAACCTCAGACTCTATGATTCATCATTCCCCTCCCTTATTGCACTCTCAAGAAGCTTTCTACTGAGCTATAGTAAAAGTGGTACAATAACATGTATATATCTATGTTGAAAAGAAAAGTCCAAGTTGGATATTAGATGAAAAATACTAGGGATTTCAGTACACGAATAACAAGCATACCTTTACTGCAGCTGTATGTATAACAAGCAGCATAGCCGCCATCACCAGCTCGAACATCAGCTTCAACTGCCCTTCCAACAACGCCAACAGCAGCACTTAAACCAGCTCCAAGTGAAAGATGAGCATTACCACTAAACATCTTGACAGCATCATTTGTTCTCAGAACAATAATGAGGTCCGTTAGCTCCCCTCCAGCCTATGGTGGAAAAAGTAAATTAGCAAACAGGCCATTAGCTATTATGCAATAAATCAAATAGTTCATGCGTCTCATCAGAAGTTACTATAAAATTTACTAAATGAAATCTCCACAGTGATAAAATTTTCACATTCAATTCATATTAACAAGCAAAGTCGTCGTTAGTTAAAGTTGTATCTCAAAATTGTTTGACCAATAGGATAGTTTGTAATAGGTTAGTTACTTCACCTGAGCCCCCCACCCCATTCCAAATGTCGAAACAGCAGATGGTGGGGACCATGAACCATCTTCCCTACGCGCAACCACAATTCCTGTTCCAATATTATAAGTAACCATCACTCCAACTTTGGCCACAGTGATTATTGCTAGACCTTTTGCTTGCCTAAGAATGACATCTGGAATTGTCTTATCGGGCTTTAATAAACCTATCTGCATAAAATGAAATTCTTCATGAAGTAAAAAAAAAAAAAATACACATCGTTGGTAGTAAAATATGGAACCTCCACCACCATGACATGTTGGCATAAGTAATACTGTCAAGAACTTAAACTTATAACATAAAAAATTACAAAATGATGACAGCAACAAGGAATCTAAAAAATATGTAGACTTCCAAACCATGACATGTTGGCATAAGTAATACCAACAATAACTTAAACTTCTAACATCAAAAAATTACAAAACAATGACAACATCAAGGAATCTAAGGAGTTACCCAAACTAACATCTGAAAAAATTTAAAACATGTCATCACACAAATTGAAATTTTTTGTTTCATTTAGGGGAGGGGAGGGAATGGAACTTAATGCAGGTGAAAGATCAGAAAGAAGGATATAAGGTATATCGTTGTCAAGTTGTAGAGTCAAAATTTCAAAGGGCCGTGAGAATATGTAGCAGCTGGTGTTTATTATTCAATTTCTAATAATTAAAAACAAATACCTAGAGTATTAGAGGGGATTCTGCTTGGTGGCAGGGATAATTTTTAAATCATGGTGTTGTCAAAGAACATATATAGTGGCCGCTATTGCGTAGCAAAATTTGAACAAACACTAATGTTCCGCAAAAATGCTATTTAGTATAGTGTTTTCAAATAGTTGCTCTGGCTGCGCTATACAACTAGCATAATGGAATTTGAACAAACCGCTATTTTCCATGATCCACAATTGACAACAGATTTATATGTTGTTTGCCTGCTTAATGCTTATGCACGAAAAAATAATATTAAATTTCATACCTGATTATAAGACTTGATAGTGTTAGTTGCCTTGTAAATTTCATATTCCATAGTCTGCCCCCATGGAAAATTAACCCATGATCTCAAAGTACTTAGATCTGTAAGATCGTGGGTTGGTAACTGAGAAGCATTACTTACATGATCCATCAAATAAGGCTGTATAGACTCAACTCGGACAAAACATACATCGCAGACTCTTTGGGGGTCAGAAACTCGGAACTTTGATGGCATCAAGCTCCGTCCTTTAGAACACTCGCCACAAAATATTCCTCCACAAAACCGGCAGTGATGCCTTGAACACATAATTGGGTGAAACCTCACACCACAAAGCATACAAGAAGCCGCAGCACTATCCGCCAACCATTTAGGAGGCTCTGCTTCTATTAACTCCTTCACATTACCAAAACTAGTCTCCGTGAGTGTTTGTGCCATCTCTCTCCAAGCTTGTTCAAGTACATGACTCGATAGCCACGAAAAGCTGTACGTATGAATATCTCCTGACGCCAAAGACGACACTTTCCCTCTAGCAACAAGTAAAATCTCTACCAACACTTCCCACATAGTCAATTCCTTATCTCCTCCAACATACTGATTCCATCCCATATCATCCTCAGGAAAAAACCCTCCACTCGAGTGAAAACCTTTCGTCCACTCTTTATGATCATCTTCCATCATAGGCGGAACCGAAACCGGTATCCAGACACCAGTATCTTCATTCAGAGGAGCATCATAATAAAAATACTTTCTCTGATTCTGAATACCAGCTAAAGCCTCCATATCCTCTTCATTCCTTTCCAATGATTCTTCAGGTAACTCAGGATATAATCTAGATAAATTCATACTATTCTCCTCAGTGCTAACAGAAGACAGAGAATCACAATTCTCTTTAGTAACATGATTATGATTCCTCAAATCACCATCCACTTCATCCTCCTGTCAATGATATCATATAAAATCAGCCAAATAAGGCACAAACAGAAAACATCAAACACTAATCTTAAAAAGGAAAAATCAATATTAATAATCAAATTCTAACAATCTTAAAAAAAAACACAGAAAAATAAAAACAGTAGCATATAAAGATAATCAACATCAACATCCACAAAAAATTGCAGAAATCAAAACAGAGAAAATTTACCATAGGAGAATATGAATTGGATATGTGATCAGAAGGGGATAAACGAGAAACCCTAGCGGATAAATCTTCTACAACTTGCACCTGATTCTTAGAATCGAAATTTTTGCCCTCCATTGGTAAACCTAAAACACCAAACTAGGGTCTATACAATTATACATGCATATAATAAATATTATGCATATATTAGCAAGCAACGATAAAGTTTAATAGTCAACTTGAATTTAGGGCGTAAAGAACGAAACTTTAGGAATAGAGATGAAAAGGGTTTGGGGATAGAAATTGAATTACAGCTTCAATTCAATGGCGTGTCTTTGTTAAGGAGTTTCTCTGTACGTCTCGCTTGCGTGCACACCCTGGACCTTATCAACTTTCTTTTCCTGTATCATTATTATTTTTTATCAATTTCTTTTCATGTATCATTATTATTTTTTATTGAAATTAAAGGTAAGTAGTACACTAATAGCTTTACAATTTCATGTAATAAAAATTTATTATTCAACCATAACATATAATTATAGTGCAGTTTTCTTTCTTTTATTTCGTATATAAAATATGCTTGTGTTTTTTTTAATGTTTGTTTTATTTTTCACAATAAAAATAAAAATGTAATTAATATTTACTGGTAGAATAAAAATATTTTATAACTTTTTACATCGATAACAATTTTTGAAATATATATATTTATGAATAACATCTTTATGTTTATTCATGTGTCTTTTCACATAAATATTTTTAAATGATATAACGATTATAATTGAACAATTTAATTCTTTTTATTTAATTTTTTATATTTATAATGTATCAAATAATATTTAAAGGTGGTGATCAGGTGTGATCAGAATGAATTGTCTTGACCTTTAATATAGGACAGCAATAATGGTTGTAGGAGAGAAGGTGTGTGTACCTGAAGTACTGCAATGCTAAAGTAAGTGTTTAGGCTAGAGAGAAAGCAAGTACGAATGTTTAGGTATGAGTAAGAATGATTAGAATACCATACCCTCTTAAGAGAGAGGGTATTTATGAGTTTTCCCCCCAATGCGGGACCAAGGTCTCCCATGCGACCAAAATATTTGGTCGGCCAATGATGGACTGTCGGATGGAAGATCTAGCGCGTGATCTTTGACCTGGTCCAACTGTCCTCGAGACTTTCAGAGGGGCAGTTGGTCGCATGAACTGTCAAGCGCGTGAGGGGATGTCCCCAACGACTATATGCTCCAACAGCTATATTGTGCCCAACGATCTTATTGTGCCCAACGGCTATATTGTCCTAATCTCCTTATTGGGCCTAGCCCTAAGCTAAACTAGATTGGCTCTTGCCCATCTGAGGGGCATGTGTCAGTCCAGTCCAAAACAGGAGCCCCCTAAATTGTTGCTTCGAGGTGAGAAGTAATGACTTGAGTGAACCTAGTTGTTCGACTAAGGGGCAAGAACCGTATCGCATGGAGGTCTTTGAGGTCGTCATTATTTGAGCGAAAAACTCCGGGGACGCGCGTGTGCATAGCATATGATCAGTAAGGTCGCCGGTTAATGGAGTGTGGTCTCCTTGGAGCTGCAAAGACGTGGTCGGATATGAAAGGTGCATTTTACGTCGACCAGGATTGTTCTTAAGATGAAGAAAATATCGACGAGACTCCTGCTCGGATGCTAATCTGGTGATGTTGTCGAGGAGACTGTGCCCGCGAGGAGCTGAACAGACTTGTCTTTTTACAAGCATGTGAAGGATCAGTTTTGAGAATGCCAACTAACAGCTTCTCTCGCCACATGTTAAGGCGCAATAAATTTTGTTAAGGCCTTCAAAATTAGGGTGATTTGCATCGACGCATGGACCTATTTCGGTCGACACAAAGAGTTGTTTCCTGCATAATCCTGAATTTGGGAGAGCTCAGGTCGACCCTCCCCTTGTTTTAGGTCGACCGCTCGCGCGTTTCTCATAGAATTTCTGTTATGATTAACATTCAAAGTGACTGTTATGTTGGTTATTTGGTTTCAACTTTGCATATATATTGAGTTAGTTCATTCTACACAAAAAAACCAACAAGAAAAGTGAAAATATACATTGATTTGGTTCTCATCATCTTCATCATCTTTCTTGCATTTTCTCAACAACTACACATAATCATTTTGTTGTGTATTCTGCATCATCAAGGTGATAACATACAAACTTAGGATTGGTGTATCGGGTTTGGGTTGAGAAATCAATGGGTTTTTCTTAAATAAAACCTTGAGGGTTTTGTCCTCCAAGAATCTTGGATTTTGGGGGTTTTGCAAAAATCGTTCCTTCACAGATTCATCCGAGCGAAGGTAATTGAAGAACGGGAGGTTCTATAAATCTAGTAGTGTTAACCGGAGGATTGTGGTAGGAAGGTTTGGGTTCGAATCGTTGGTGTTTGAAATCAGCTGGGCAAGATTTGAAGACCAGAACGTTGTTCAAAGGTGGTGTCGTAATCGGAGGTTTACTCATCACGTTCGAAGGACTTAATTCATCTTGAATCAAGGGAAGAGATGGCATAGGCTCGACATCAACATTTAGGTTTGATTGTTTGAATTCTATTGCTTCTCTTGTAAAAACAATTTGCAACAGATTATATATACATGTCTCAATTCTATTTTTAGAATTGAGGGCAGACGTACCCCGAGCGAGGACGACGGGGGAGCTGCCTCAACAAATTGGCGTTCTCTCTTTTTACTATTTTCATTGCTGAATTTTGAGTTTGTGTGCAAACATATTAGTTGATCAAAATTTTGGTGTGTTAGTGCTGAAACATTTTTAGAAACCTCATTACAATCTTTTGATTGTAATTGAAAAGTATAGCACTTTATTCACCTATTGAAATTTACTTGAAGTGCTTCGCACACCAAGTGTTCGACTAATTGTGTGAACACAAAGACTTGAGTTGTTTTTCAATTGGTTTATATTTCACATGCATTGGAAACTGTCCAACTTCGCACACTAAGTGTTTGCCTAATTCTCGTCTTTATCAGTATTCCATATAGGCTTTGCGTATATCCAATATTTTTGGTAACGGTTCGTTTAGACGAGTATAGTTCATCGGCCACTTCCGCTTAAAACTTTTTAAAATCCAAATCTTAATAAGCCCCGAATATATTTTTAATAAGTGATCTATTCAACCCCCCCCCCCCTTCTAGATCATTGTCGTCTAACAAGTGGTATCAAGAGCACCGGTTCATTCCATGCTTCGCATATAACTTCTTAGAATATGGCAAACGAACCAAAAGGAGCTTACAATAGAGCACCTGTTTTCAACGGTGAGAACTATAGTTACTGGAAAGATTTTATACGCATGCATAAAAATTCCATTGACAGAAAGGTATGAAACGTTATATTGAACGGTCTTATGGAAATTACCATGACCTATGAAAATAACGTTGTTGTGCCTAAGCCTGAAGCACAATGGAATGATGAAGATGAGAAAAAGTACAATTACGATTGCAAGGCTAGAAATATTCTAAGCTCTTCCTTGGGAGTTGATGAATATTATAGAGTTTCACATTGTATGACTGCTAAAGCTATGTGGGACTCATTGCAAGTTGCCCATGAGGGAACTAATGATGTCAAACTAGCTAGAATTAACACTTTAATTCAAGAGTTCAATCTCTTTCACATGGAGCAAGGGAAAACCATTGCCGACATGCAAAAGATATTTTTTCATTTAATCAATAGACTCAATTCACTTGGTAGACCAATTTCCAATGATGTTGCTACTAACAAAGTTTTAAGATGTCTTACCAAGGAGTGGAAACCAAAGGTCATAGCCATAAAGGAAGCAAATGATCTTATGACTTTGGATCTTACATCTCTTTTTGGAAAGCTACAAGAACATGAGCAAGTGCTTCTTAGTCTCGAGCAATTTGAGAAAAAGGAAAAGAAGGAAAAAACCAAAACTACGGAAAAGAAGTCTATAGCTCTAAAAGCTTCTTGTTCAAAGTCCTCCGTAAAAGAGCTAAGTGATTACGACTCAAGTGATGACGTTGATGAAGAAACGAATGAGGATATGGGGTTGTTCGTGAAGCGATACAATCTCTATGTAAAGAAGAATGGTATCTAACATTCCGAAAAGAATCTCGTCAATTTTAGAAGACAATTAAGGTCTTCCAAGAATGAAGGCAATAAGGGGAGTAAAGCAAGAGGGTCATGCTTTAATTTTGGAAAAGTCAGGAACTATAAGTCGGATTGTCCATCGATGAAGAAGGACAAATGAAAGGAAATTAATCGCTCACAAAAGAGACAAGGTAAGCCTAAAAGAGCTTACGTCGCTTGGAAAAGTGATAGTGAGTCATCTGTGGATGATAGTTCAAGTGGCGAAGAACAGTTCATCAACCTTTGTCTCTCTGCTCATCAAAAGAAGAAAAATAAAAAGGTACGACATGCTAAATACGAAAACTCTACTAAATTGTCTCATTCTGAATTACAACATGCCTTTGACACCTTACACCATGAAGCCAAGGAAGCCTTTAAACGGTTGACCTCAAACAAACAAATTTTTACTCACTTGGAGAAAAAGATCTCCGATTCCGAAAGAGAATTGGAGGCTCTCAAGGCATCTATGGTGGAAGTAACAAAGGTAGATGTTGAGGAAGAAAGAAGTAGATGGTTAAACGACCGGTAAATTAGCAAGTGTACTAATTGTACAGATGTAGTAATAAGGGGAAATTCCCCGAATATCGATCTCGCGGACTGCGTAATAACACAAATTCTATAATAATGCAATTGAACAAAAAGTCATAAGGGTTTTGGTTTGTTTCTTTAGAATTATCCAGCCAAAAGGCAAAAGCGGAAAAATAAAGGTTTTAGACAGTTATGAGAAGCATGCTAGGGTAGGGTGTATGAAAAGCCTGATACTAACCTTAATCCTTAGTTTTCACAAATCACTGCTCAATTCAATCGTGACCGGTTTTAAAGATTAGTTGACTCTAATTCCTTAGCAGAAAACCCTTTGGTATTCTTCATATGCCCCAATTCCTTGGCGGTATAGGAACAATCCCAAACAATATAATTTATCTAAAATATTTCGGTTACTATAGGGTATCCCCATTCCTAGGCAATATCTACTATAGCATTACGTATAAACGCGTTAACGATCGTTTTTTCAAAC